GGAATCACACCAATCTCAAATTCTCATTCTGATTTCTTTGTGTCTAAGTTCTCGCTCCTCCTGAAAGAGATGTCATCTAGGGGATGCATGTTACCGGTGTGGCTTTGGCAAGAAAATGATGGAGACCTCCAAACAGTGGCCCCACATTTAGAGAAAAGTCTGCTAATACTATCAAAGACTGGCTGAGGGATATGCATCTGCAGACAATCAGTGCTCAGGAAAGCAGCAGTCAAGAGATCAAGAGACGGGTTGTGTTGGGTCAACCTCCTGCGCAAGACCCCTTTAAAGTGTTGAAAAGCAAGGAGGCTGGTTAGCTTGGAGGACTAAGGTGCGCCTGACCCAAGCCAGAGTATTCACAGCTGCCACATACGCATGCGTGTGAAAGTTGGACACTGACTAGGAAAGACCAACGAATGGACACATTTGAATGATGGTGATGGGGAAGAACATTGACAGTACCATGGACTGACAAAATAACGAACAAATCTATCTTGGGAGAGGTGCAGCCAGAAGGCTCCTTCGAGGCAAGGATGGTGAGACTTCAGCTTACAAACTTTGGACGTGTTGTGTTGTCAGCAGAGCCCAGTCCCTGGCTGGTGAGATGAGGTCATGCTCAGTAAAGTAGCGAGACAGAGAGACAGAGAGGGAGGCCCTGGGTAAGATGGATTGACCCCGTGGCTGGCTGCGACAGTGGTCCTCGGGCACAAGTACAATTGTGAGGATGGCGCGCACCGGACAGTGTTTTGCTTGGTTGTGCACAAGGTCGCTCGCTATGAGTCAGAACCAACTCAATGGCCCCTTTCACCACCACCATGAGTTGGAAGTTCAAGTACAATGTCCCAGTATGCATGTGGATGTGCTTCCTTATTAGGAACTTTACTGGACTCTCCCAATTAATGAAGAGGTTTCCCTCAACTTTCATGTGAATTATTGCATACAGCAGGGACTCCACCTTCAAAGCCCCACCTGCCTCTCTCCAAATGGGAGTGCCTGTGGGGGCCAACGGGGCAGACCTCCCCTCAGCTGTGAGTGCCTGAAGAACTCTCGTCTTAATCGTGCACCTCTTGGCGCCTCAGCTAGGCCTGTGGCGAGTCTGATCACTAAAAGTGCAAGGGAGCCATTAGCGATTCTCCTGGCTTTGTGTTTTGGTGATAACAGACACACAGAGAGCGAGAAGGGATCCTTACCCCTCGGGAGAAGAAGTAGACACCCCCGAACACAGACAGAATCTCTCCAGTGACTCGGAAATAGTCTTTGGTGTTATTCAGCTTGAACGGAGGCTGCAAGATGCAGAGAAGTTGGTGAGTCCATACATTCATTCATTCATTCCTTAGATAAACATTTGGCCAGGGACCAAGGCCTATGACTCATTAAGACCCAGGCCCTGCCCCCAGAGACTCAACCTCCAACAGGAGGAAAAGACACATAGGATAGGGAAAGACATGTTGTGGGGACGCCTGCAAGGAGCCCATGTTGGGGGACCTGATTCCCCAAAGTGGTGGCCTCCAGAGAACCCCACAGAGCAGCCTTACAATGCTGGGTCCCAGGCACTGAGCCTGGCCTGGAGCTCTGCGTGGCTGGGAGGACAGGACGGAAAGAGGTACTTCATAGACTCAGGAGTGTCCCCGTTTCCCAGTAGTGAGGAAATGAGAGAGTCTCCCACAGTCCAGTGTGTGTGTGTGTGTGTGTGTGTGTGTGTGTGTGTGTGTGTGATCCTTGTGTTTGCGGCAACCCTTTTCTGGAGAGGGATTTTTTTTTTCCTTTTCAGCTTATCATCCATGTTCTATAGGCACATACATGGGATCAGCATGAAACAGAATCAACTCAATCGCAGTGAAGAGGCCACTAGCCTGTCTTATTATGTTTCTCTCTTTTCTTAATGTGAAGCCAGGAACTTGCCTCGATGGGTGGACAGAAATCAGGTTTCACCTAATCATGAAATTGAGTTTTTAGCTTCAGATTTGCAAGCCAGCCACCCTAGAAACGAAGGCGGCAATGAAGCGCCCGGGTATTGAATGGAAAGAACGCCCTTCAGGGACCTGATGGGCCCACGGGTTCCGGTTAGGGTCCATCCTGGTCTTGAGTGGATTTAAAGGAG